AAGAACATCATTCTTGGTAAAGTGGAGGATCAGAGTAAAAGTGGAAGACCTCAATGATATGCACTGACACAGTGACAACATATTGGTGTCAAACATGGAAAGTATTGTGAGTGTGGCATAGTACTGGATAGTGTTTCATTCTGTTGTGCACAGTGTCCCTATGAGTCAGAACCCACTTGTCAGCATCTAACATCAACAACAATGAATAAGGAAGACCATACATGAACAATAGTTCACTCTGTCATTCAAGATTGTGTTCTTCTATCTGTTCAAGCTCTGGTAGCGTAGTGGTTACGAATCGGGCTGCGAACCTTAAGGTCAGCGGTTCGAAACTACCAGCCGCTCCGCGGGAGAAAGATGAGGCTTTCTACTCCCGTAAAGATTTACACCCTCGGAAACCCTGTACAGGGTCGCTATGGGTCGGACCCGACTCGATGGCACTTAACAACAACAACAACATCTGTTCAAGCTAATTGCTTACTATTCTCTTCCATTATGTGCCTCCTTCCCTTATACTGGACTTATCACTTCTCACCCTTTCATGATTATCTTTCACATTGCCACTATACTGACATATAGGTATCTTCCACTTTTCCCTCTTAATATCTGTATATTAGGAGAAGATGATTAAGATACAATCATCTTCACTATAGATTAAATATCCTAATTACCTTTAAATTTCCCTCACATATTCTAGATTTCCACAGTTTTATTTGTTTTGTGCTTGTATCTATAAAACTCTTTGTCATAGAAATGGAAAGTCTTTAAGAATGTTTTATTGTGCCTCTTTCATGCTCTCTATATTTATGTGATTTGAGATGGCTACAAAGAAGCCTTAGTGATGCTGTAAGACACGCACTGGACAGCTAACCACAAGGTCAGTGGTTCAAACCACCAGTGGTTCTTCAAGAGCTTGTACTTCCATAAAGATTTATAGTCTCGGAAACCCCATATAAGGACCCTATGAGCTAGAGTTGATTCAATGACAGTGGATTTGGTTTTTTGTTTGAGTTATTACAAGTATCCCTGTGGTTTAGGTTTCTGACACTCTTCTGTTACAGTAGTTTTAGATTCGTGGTTGAAGAAACCGAGGCACTCAGAAAGGTGAAGCAGAGTTTCAGATTTTATTAAGCCAGCTGACTCGAGGAGCTAATTTCTCCAGATTCTGAGCCCTGAATGGAGGGCAACACGGGCCTAATGGGGTCAGAGTCCAGAGAGGGGCCAGGCTGCATACCTGTTTGAGGGCAGGGGGGAGTCCCGGGGATTGGTCGGTCCCATTTGGTAACCTGATTCGCATTTTAGCTTGCCTCCTGAGCAGGATAGGGCAGTGAATGATTTTTACCTTTTCCTGTTCATTCCCCCCTTTGATGCCCTTTGGAACATTTTTCCCAGGGGCATCATCTATGTAAGGAATGGTATTTTGGTATTGATTTGGATTGTTGGTACCCTTTTCATTTGATTATTGTTTTAATGGCAGTTCCTATGGCCCTGATTGCTAGTGGGAGTAGGCATGGACTGATTAAGTAAATTCCAAATAAAACAGGACTCCATGCACAAGAGTCTTGAACACTTTAAAGGTGAAGAATTACCCTCCCCATAGGCTTTGTGGGTTCCACCCATTCCAGTTTTCACAGGAACAACTTTTTGCATTTTTACAAGGTCTTCTAATACTTCTAATACCAGATTCTGGTCATCTACTTGTATGCAGCAGTTAGCAAAATTAACCTTCTCACATACCCCTCCTCCCTCCGCAGCCAATAAGTAGTTTAGGACTCATTTATTTTGATAGATGGCATTTCGTATCTGGGTCTGTTGGTGTGTCAGAGTGGTTAGGGCCACCCCAATTCCATTGGTTCAGTTACCTAGGAGGGTGCCATCACTTTTAGAAGAGTAGTATGGTTACTGTTTGGCCCACCTTGGTGGTGTGGGTGTATAGATTACACAGATTTCTCCCTTTCCCACACCCCAAAGTCTAATTAAAATGAATCCCATGGCAGATATCCTCATGCTTTGGCGGTGCGTAGATCAGCCAGCTCCTGGTTTGTGGCTGAAGCAGGACAGGTTGTACGTCTCAACGTTACCTTGTGAGGGTTGGTAGGGTCAGTTTCAGCTACTCATGGAGATGAGGCTTTCTTTAGTCTGCTGTGGGGACTCCTTCTACCTTGGCTGCTGCGCTTGGGATAATTTCTTGTTCTAGTCCTCAGTAATCTTTGCAGATGCTTCTGGATGCCTTCCAGAAAGGAAAAACAAATCAGATACCCATATTACACTCTGAGCTAAATAGGCCCAAATGTTTTTCATCCCATTAAAAGGAATAATGTCTTATGAGAGTCCCATTGAGTCAAAGTTGAGTCCACCTAACTTGACAGCTGACAGGGTGGCTAGAAGGACTTCCAAAGATCCAGTCCACTTTTTCTCTCTAACTGGTTTTCAGGTCTGTCTCTCCATGTTCTGAGCACAATATGATCTCCATGCTGGAAGGGATCAGGTTACCTGTAGGGAAGGGAGCAGACCTGGGAAGAACAATTTTACAAATAATAGAAAGTGTATGGTGGAGGTGTTGTGCATACCACCGCACCTTTAAGCCTTGGCTGAGGTCAGGTAGAGGGTTGAGGGAAGCTGCCTGGGAAGGTTTACTGTATACAACTCTATAAGGGCTCAATTTAAGCCCACTTCTGGGGGCTACCTGAACTCAAAACAAGGCTAAGGCAACACCTGGTCCCAATGTAGATTAATTTCCTGACAGTTTTGTCATTTGTTTCTCTTTAGAGTATGGTTCATTTTCTCGAGCCTCCACATTGAATTCAATCTCCATTTAATCTGTTTGCTGCTCTGTTGTCACTTTGGACACTCTGAAAGTCCAAACTTGGAGGTAATCTCCTTCAAAAGGATTTTCACTATTTCTGAAATTCTTAGTTCTGGTGGGGGCAAAATTTTACCCAACCAGAAAAGGTGTCTACAAAAACAAAACCAGCAAATATTTAATTCCCCAGCTTGGGGCATCTGCATGAAATCAACCTGCTATTTTCAGGGAGTTGTTTGCATTGGTATTGGTGCAGGACAACCTGTATTGGGATTATTCTTGAGGCAGGTAACAGTCAGAGCTCACCTCCTGAATGATTTTGTTGTTGTTATTCTAGTGCCAGGACCTAATGAGACAAATCAGGGCCTCTTTCCTGTAGTGGATAATTTCATGGACTCATTTATGAAGAGCAGGTGCTAGATCACAGGATCAGAACCATTCTATTAAAAAAAAAACTTACTTTTTACCTTTTAACTTCTCAGAACTAGAACAATTCCATTGTCATCTACTTTTCATTCTTTAACCCCTCTCTCCAACCCTTCTGCCTCAGTTCCACTAAAATCCTCTGGGTACACATTCAGTATTTCTTGCCAACATTTCTAATACCCTCGTCAGTGAAATCAGTTCAGCCTCCTTTTTTTTTCTTTGAGGTGGGATCCCCGGCGGGAGTATCCCATTCCAAAGAGAGGCGACCTAACAGAATGAGGAAATCATCAGACAATCTCTTTGATATCCCATGCGAGTAAAGATTTGCTAAAGGTAAACGAGAAATGGCTGCAATCATACATTGACAGAGAACTTTCAGTGGTTCAAGCTGGATTCAGAAGAGGATGTGGAATGAGGGCATCATTGCTGATGTCCGATGGATCTTGACTGAAAGCAGAGAATATCAGAAAGATGTTTACCTGTGCTTTATTGACTATGCAAAGGCTTTTGACTGTGTGGATCATGACAAGCTATGGACACCATTGCAAAGTATGAGTATTCTGGAACACTTAATTGTGTTCATGAGGAATCTGTACCTGGACCGAGAGGCAGTTTTTGAAACAGAACATGGGAACACTGAATGCTTTAAAATTAAGAAAGGTGTGCGACAGAGTTGTATTCTTTCACCATACTTATTCAACCTGTATGCTGAGCAAATAATCCTAGAAGCTGGGTTCTGTGAAGAAAAACGTGGCATCAGGATTAGAGGAAGACTCACTCATTAACAACCTTCAATATGCAGATGATACAATCTTGCTTGCTAAAAGTGAAGAGGACTTAAAACATTTGCTGATGAAGATCAAAGAACACAGCCTTCAGTATGGATTACATCTCAATGTCAAGAAAATAAAAATCCTCACTACTGGACCAATAAACAACATTCTTATCAATGGAGAAAAGATTGAAGTTGTCAAGGACTTCATTCTTCTTGGATCAACTATCGACACTCATGGAAGCAGCAGTCAAGAAATCAAACAGCATACTGCATTAACCAAATGTGCTGCACAAGACCTTTTGAAAGTGTTGAAGAGCAAAGATGTCAGCTTGAAGACTAAGGTGTGCCTGTCCCAAGCCATGGTGTTTTCAATAACCTCATATGCATGTGAAAGCTAGACAGTGAATAAGAAAGACCGCAGAAGAATTGATGCTTTTGAGTTATGGTGTTGGAGGAGAATACTGAAAGTGCCATGGGCTGCCAAAAGAACCAATTTATATGTTTTAGAAGAAGTGCAGCCGGAGTGCTCCTTAGAGTCCAAGATGACCAAACTTCATCTCTCATACTTTAGACATATTGTCAGGAGGGACAAGTCACTGGAGAAGGATATCATGTTTGGTAAGGTAGAGCGTCAGAAGAAAAGAGCAATACCCCCAATGAGATGGATTGGCCAAGTGGCAGCATCGATGGACTCAAGTGTGGCAACAACAGTGAGGTTTGCCCAGCATCAGGCAGTGTTTTGTTCTGCTGTGCATAAGGTCGCTATGGGTCGGTATCAACTCGATGGTACCAAAAACAAGAAAAGATGGCACCTAACAGCAACAACAATCTTTCTATTACCATGTTTCAAAGAAAAGTTTTGTATTAAAAATACCTGAAGTATATATTTTTCACACATCATAATCTTGTATTCCTCCAAAGAGCATTGTCAAAATTACTGACTTAGCCTAAAAAATGTGATGCCCTCCCTTATTAGTGATTGTGCTCTTGTTTCAGCATGTTATTTGCACAGGGTTGTGGTGTAAGGTAGAAGGTGAGAAGGAATGCAGAACCAAACTAGATCCACCAATGGATGGAACTGATTGTGATCCTGGTAAGGTAAGTCCTTGGGCTTTACTGAAGTGAATAAGAATATTAAATGAAATAAGAAACTTCCATTTATTTTGGGAATTTTCTCTTGCTAATTACATTTTAAAATTTTCAACACTGATGAAATATTTTGAATATGAAACAATTTTAAATTCCAGTATTCCATCTATTTTTAATTTGATCTTTTTTGTGTATTTTTCAAATTCATGGTTGTTCTGTTAATACAAATGTGGTTGTTTCTATTGTTGTTAATGATCATAATGTTGAAAGTCCAATATCTGTATGAATTTAACAACAAAGTTAATTCTTATAAGCTTTATTGTTTATATTAAATATAAATTAAAAAGCACCAAAAATTGTTATTGTTGTTAAAGCCATCAAGTCCGATCTGACTCGAAATGATCCTGTAAGGGTTTCCAAGGAGCAGCTGATGAGTTTGAACCACCAACCTTTAGGTAGCAGTCCAGCGATTATCCTATAGAACACCTAGTAAAACTACTCTAAGATGATGAATTCTTCTGTGTATAAAATGTTGTCTCAGGAAAGCCACTGAGTATCAGTAATTTATCCTTATCAACTTAAGCACTAATAAAATATTTCAATTGATATTTTTAAGATTAGTAAGTATTTGGTTTTCTAAGTTTAATGTGTTTTTACAAGACTACTGGAATGTATTCCTGTACATTTTCTAGGATAAAGATAACTCCTTTTGAAAAATGAAACTATTGTCAAAGAATATGAAATCAAGTAGATTTCATATGTACTTATAATTAGGGTTAAAGTAATCATGAGACAACTTTGCTTGCTGAAAGTTTAATTATGATTTTCTATTTTTTATCTATGTAATGGTCATCATTTCATTCAATGTAAGACTAGAAACGTTGCCTGTAAAGTACATGAATTTGTATTAGATTTGAAAAGAAACAGCAACAAAATATCTCCAGATTACTTGGTGTGAGTTATTTGGGGAAAAAAATATATGAAGTGCTCACAAATTCAGTAGCTACAACAACAAAACATCAATTTGAAAAAATAGACTGAAATCCAGCACCTCAAATTGTAGAAATTTGTCCTAATGAAATATGTTGTTGTTAAGCACCATTGAGTTGGTTCCGACTCATAGCAACCTTGTGTAGGGTTTCTGAGGAATGGCTGGTAAGGGTTTGAACTCCAAACCTTGTGGTTAGCAGTCTAGTGTTTATTTGTACATGCACCTTGCTTATGTAAAGATGTAATTTGCAATGTTAAAAAATTTAAAAACTAAACTATTTCTAAGTATAAGAATGGTTTCAGTGTAACATTTTGTTTTTAATGAGGTAGCTAGCTAGATACTACCATGGCATGACCTACACAAGACATTACTGTTAATACATAGGCATGCCAGAATAATTCATACTTTATGATGTCATTTGAAATTTAAGGGGAAAAAAAACAAAAACACTTGTGTACAGACATGTCTACCCAAACAGACAGACATACATTTCTAAACTCCTAGTCAATGGTTTTAGTAACATAAATTCTAAGCTGTTATTAGTTGTTATCTCTTAGAATGGAAGTGAAATTGATAGATTCAAATAAGACATAGTGAGGTGGGATGAATTAAATGTTTTACAATAAATATATGGATTGTTTGATGAATGTGGACATATAGTCACTTATTACATTTATAGTTTTTTATTTAATAAAAGTACACAATTTTGAAATCCCACCCATAACAATGTTTTAAATACTAGAAAAGTTTTGTTACTAAAGATTATCAACCAAATTTTTTTCTAGGAAAATAAAGGTCAGTATTTGGGAATCTTTTCTTTTCTAAAAATTATAAACAAACATATAACAAAGCGTGTATGCAGGGCAAGCCTCATGTATTCTGCTGAGTAACTTATTGCTTGAATCATAACTCTGTAACAGCAAAAATTTTTATCATCTCTCAAACGGTAATCAACAGCAAAAAACAAATACTCAGATATCACATAATCCATACAGTTTCCTTAGTTCTTCCTTAATAATATGAAATATCTTCATTTTTTATACTATGTCATGTTAAATATTTTCTGTTATTGTGTCTTCTTATTTATAAGAATGATTAGCAGACTTAAGGTCTTTAAAATAAATTTACTCTTTTAGCTATCGAAACTGCAATTACACAGCAAATATAAAATGTTTTCTCTCCCTATTATTATTTTAATGAAATGCTTTTAGTGTTTTCTTTTATACTTTGTATATTGAAATAACTAATGAACTTCTCAGTTCTTCAGGTCACGTGCGCTTCTTCAGACACCCATCTGTTCCAGCTGTTGTAGCAGCCATCACACAAAGGGCTCACCACACTGCTGTTGAGTCAGGCAGTGATAGCATACTTGAATACTTGCAACCTCTTCTAAACTCTGCTGTTTCATAGATTGCAAATTAGGAAACAAAGCTGGAGGTTTTATAGCTCACAACACTGTAGTGTTATTAATTTAGCTTTCTAAATCTACTTCATCTAGCTATATAAAATAGAATCTAAGGGATACTTACAGAAATGTATGATGCAAAATTATTTTGAAGTTAGTGATTTACATGCTATTTATAAACATCATTTACCAAATTAAAAGCAATCTATTTTCTTTCTTCCCCTTTCTCTTCTTGATACTATCCTGTAGATTTACATTTACAATTAATAGAGATTAAAGAGATGATAAATAGTAATAAAAATCAACAGTATTTCCTAGGAGTAGAAATGGGAGGGCAGTTAAATTATCTGTTCAGTAGAATTTTAGATTGTTTAGTCAAAGTCTACATGGTATATTGGTGATTTGTGTTCCTCAATAAAAATTATCATTATTATGCATTCTCCATTATTAAAAATAATAAAGATTCTAATATCATATCACAGTCCTGGTATGGCACTGTAGGATAAAGCACTAGACCACAGGGCCAATTTGAACCACAAGGTGGGCAGTTCCAACTCACCAGCCGCTCCTTGGAAACTCTATACAAGGTCACTATGAGGCAGAACTGATTTGACAGCACTTAACGGCAACATCATAATTATGCATATGTCCAGAGATTTTGCCTTCTTTCCTCCACTTTGCACTTCCAAAATCTGTGAACAAGGTTTGATTTGTGAATTATCAGACTCTTTTGGCAACTTCATGAATTTTTCAATTTTATATTTTCATGTCTACTTTCTAGAAATATTCATATGAAAATTTGGAAAAGAAAAAACATAGGAAATAATAGTCAATGTCATGGATTATTCCATAAATTATATATATATACATTTTCACATATCAGGCTGACTTAGTAGAAATGACACATTTTAAGTTTGTAAACAGTGCTCAATAATATAATTTCTGAGACTAAAAGTACAAATATTATATGACTCATGAAATGGTGCTAGAAAATTTCTGAACAGCATCCTTAGAATCTTTTTTATAGAGAAACTCCATAATATTTAATAATTATTTAAACAATTTTCCTCAATGATGAAACACATCTCCATTTAAAACACACAAAAACACATTCCTCATAATTTCACCCAAAGATCTGGTATGTGCTAGGTGATAAAGTTTATTTTGTGAGCTGTGGGATAATTCACTAGACCACAAGGTCAGTTTAAACCACAAGGTCCATAGTCCAAATTCACCAGCCACACCTTGGAAACCCTACACAGGGCCACTATGAGTTGGAACCGACTAGACAGCACTTAGCTACAGCAGACAATATAACATTCTATGTCCTCTTAACCAATAAGTAATTTTTTAAAGTTTTCCTTTGTTTATTTTTTCGCCTTTTCTCACTGTCAGCCTGTATCTTCATACAAAGCCCCAATCTCTTTAATGATTATTAACAATGGCATATTATAGACTCAGAGTTGTTAAGCTTTTTGTTTGTTCTTTATAACCCTAGACTTAAAACTTTTTGAATCTGAGATTGAATTAAAATTTGGGCAGTATTATAGGAATTCGGCAGGACCTTATTATTTTCTTGCATATCTAAGAGTTAACTGGACTCAAAACTAGGTAGTATGATCTAAATTCTCTTTTTTTAAAAAATATGTTGTTGTTAAATGCCATCAAGTCAGTTTGAACTCATAGAGACTCTGTATAGGGTTTCCAGGAAGTAGCTGATGGGTTTGAACCTCTGACTATGTGGTTAGCAACGCTTCGAAACATATGTGGAAAAGAACAATCCATTATCTTTTCTTTTATTTTATTTTCCATGAACATTTTGAAGCTTCTTCATACATTCTCACAATAAATTTTGAAGAAAGATCAATAGAAATCAGAAAAACAGGATTTTGATTAGATTATTTGTATCTTATTTATAACTTGAATATAATGATATATATCACCATATTTTGCATTATTATTTTACTTAAAAATCAAAAACAAGAACTGTCAAGTTGATTCCAAATCATAGTGACCCTACAGACACAGTATAACTGTCTCATAGGGTTTCCAAGGCTGTAAATCTTTACAGGAGCTGGCTGCCACACTTTCTCATATGGAATAGCTGTTTGAACCACCAAACTTTCTGCTTGTAAATGAGTGTTTCCACCACTGTGAAACATTCGCTAAATGCTTATTGTGTGCTGCACATTGTGCTTAGGGCTTCATTTAACTCTTATACTTAAGAAAGACTAGTAGGTAAATATGTTATCTTTCACATTTTGGAAATGGAAACGTTGAGAATTAGAGTTTCTGTTTAATTCTTCAAAATCCCTTATAAATCATGTTGTCACAAATGACAGAAAATAACCTTGCTGAACCTCCTCATTATACAATTAATAATCTTAATAAAGAGTCCTAGTGTGGTGCTATGGAATAATGCACTGGGTTTGAACTGCAAAGTTGAAGGTTCAAAATTACCAGCTGCTCCTTGGAAACCCTATACACGGTCGCTAAATCGGAATCAGCTTAATAGCATTTAACATCAACAACAATAATATGAATGGAGTCCTAGTATAGCTCTACAGGATAATGCAATGGGCCAAAAGGTCAGTTTTGAACCACAAGGTTGACTGTTCAAACTCACCAGCCGCTCCTCGGAAAACCTTATACAGGGTCGCTATGTATTGGAACCGACTTGATGGCACTTAACAACAACCATGTTAATGTTACTAATCTTCACTTATCATTTTCAACATTATTTTTTCAGTTAATTTTTTACCTTTGAGATGTTTGCTAGGACTATCATCTACCTGATTTTTCATGGGAAAAAAAAGGAGAAATTACAATAATTTGTCTACTTAAAGTCTTGGCATCTGTTTCTCAGTTGCTATAGAAATAATCTCTTTCACTGCCTTTATTTATAGTCAATGAAAAAAAAAAATAGAATGACCCTATTCCATTCTCTTCTTTCCTGGTTTTCTTTCTCAGTTATTAGATTCTAAATAAATGATAGAATAATTAGAATGAATAACATAATTTCAAAAAGTCTAATCACTCAAATCTTTCCAAGGAAGATGACTTTTTTTTTTTTTAAAGAGTACTTGGTATAATATTAATGTTTGAATTTTATCTGAACTCTTTTAGGAGAGAAAAAAAAATGTAAGGAAAAAAGCTAAAATTCAATCATACTTTTCAATAAATGTGTATTTACAAAGAAAGGAAATTTCCTGGATTACTGGCATTTCAGATCAAAATTGCTAAATTTGTCAAAATGTCTCCTTAAAACTAGAAGTACATTTATTTCTTATTCTTCCTTCTTCTCTGCATGGTATTCTATGCTTTTGTGTTTATTCCTTTCATATTGTTATCTGTTTTTTAGAATATGTTGGGTTTTCTTTTCTGTTTCTCCAACCCAAATTCCTTCCCCATTACCTTCACCCTATATCAGTCAACAGTACTGAAGTATCAGATACCCATGCTCCGCTTTCATGACAAGGCTGTATGCCTTGACATGAGAATTGTGAGAACTGGACCATTATATTATGATGATTATATAAAAAAGTTAGTGTCAACTTATTTTTGTGTTTTTTTTAATTCCACATATTTTGGGCTCTAGTAGACTTGACTTAATTACATTTCCAGTGACTATATAGGCCAGTGAATGATTTTCAGTTGTGCCCTGAATTGTTCACCTAAGACATAACTTTTGGAATAGTGGTGTAAGGCTGGAGAATGTACAAGCAGGACCTCAGCACCTGGACATCTGGCTGGAGAGTGGAGCATGTGGAACCCCTGTAGCCGAACCTGCAGTTCTGGGATCAGCAGCCGCGAGCGCAAATGCCCTGGGTAAAAGCCAAGTTCATGGTTTGGGGATGACACTTTTTGAATCTTAAAATGCAAAGATGTTACTTATAAACCTGTTGGATAGCCAAAGAAACCCCTCATATCCTAATTCATTTGGGAAAGCAGAAAAATCCGTCAAGTTATTTACTTTATAGTTGTATAAAAACGTCATACTAAAAGGAAAATAAAGACCAACACTTCTAAGAAAACAGAATTAAAAGCCAGGTGAACATTTAATGAAACTGTGGTAAGAGCAGGGAGATGATGGGATTTCGGGAAGAGTAGAATGAGAATGAGAACACTGTTAATAGAGTATAAAAGCTAAGAACAATGGAAAACAAAAACAAAATAAGCACATGTACACTCAGGAACATCTTATATAAGACCAACTTACTCAACATCTGCATTCCTAGAATGATCGGTGAGAAAGTCGTTTCCAATTGTGTTCCTTTGTGTAGAGGATGGTGACAAAGTAACTTCATAAGGAATTTAGAGCCTACAAGTGATATGAAAACATTACATCTCTTTAATAATTCTAAGCACCAAACTTTTTAGAAATTGCAGGCTTTCTATTTGCGCCCAGTCTCTCAGTAGCATATGCAAGAGAAGTTGCCTTTTAGTTCTCAGGTGTTTTGGAAAGTAAGTTGATCAAAGAGATTGAAGGGAGGGAAAATATATATGTTGTTGTTAAGTGCCTTGAAGTTGGCTCCTACTCATAGTGACCCTGTATAGGGTTCCCAAGGAGCGGCTGATGAGCTTGAACTGCCGAGCTTGTGGTTCAAACTGACCTTGCAGTCCAGCGCATTAACCCACAGCGCCACACCAGGACTCTTTACTACTAATTATTTAGTAAATTCATATTTTCCAAAGTAGATTTAATATAAAGGATTGTATGTTATTAATATAATAGTTTTAAGTTTTTTGAATGGATAGTTAACATAAAAAAGCAAAGATAAAATTGATTATTTGTGCTATTTTTTCTAGGCTAGGTGAAGCAAGGGATTGTAATGGTCCCAGAAAACAATACAGAATATGTGAGAATCCACCTTGTCCTGCAGGTTTGCCTGGATTCAGAGACTGGCAATGTCAGGCCTTTAGTGTTAGACCTGCGTACTCAAAGCCTGTGCTTCAGTGGCAAGCTGTCATAGATGAAGGTATGACCAACCAAATCACCACTGTCTTACTTAAGTAAGCTTCTCATTTTTCAAGGTGTTTTCTAATATTAGTAAATGTCATTTTACTGATTATATTCTAGATATTTTAGCACTTTGTTGTTTCTTTTATTGACGACACCCATAAAGAATGACAAAAATTACGTTTAAAAATTATAATGAGATATTGGTACACAACAATTGTTGTTGCTGTTAAGTGCTGTTGAGTTGGTTCTGACTCAAAGTGACCCTATATAGGGTTTCCGAGGAGCAGCTGGTGGGTTTGAACCACCAACCTTATGACTAGCCGTCCAGTGCTTATCATACAGCACCACATCAAGAGTCCTATACATCTATTACAACAGCTAAAATTAACAAAAAACATAGAGACATTACCAAATACTGGCAAGAATGAGAAAAATCTATATCTCTTATATTTTCCTGGTGGGACTGTAAAATGGTAGAGCCACTTAGAAAAATTGTTTGGCAGTTTCTTGGGAAACTAAAGATATACTTGCCATGATGTTGCTGTTGTTAAGTGACTGAGTCAGTTCTGACTTACAATGATCCTGGATAGTGCTTCTGAGAAACAGCTCATGAGTTTTAAATGCCAACTGTGAAGTTAGCAATCCAATGTATATCCTACAATGCCACACGACAAAGGATGAAAAAATTGCATTTCTCCTAGAGAAATGAAAATTTACATCCCCAGAAATACTAGCACATGAATGTCCATAGCACTTTTTATTTCAATTGCCCAACCTGGAAATAACCAAAAGATCTTTCATTGGTCAAGCAAACTGGTAGTACAGTCAAATCACAGAGTAATTACAAGTAAAAACTATTAATTCATGCAACAGCTTGATGGATCTTAGATAACTCCCAGCTTCCTCTTTACTTTCTCTCTCACATCTACCATCTGCTTCTCTTACTTGCTCTCTCACAGAGAATGCATCAGGATGAACCTCCTTGGTCAAGCCAAGACAGAATCCTTCTTGCTCAGTCTCCACTCACATCTACTTAGTCAATGATTTCTATTTTCCCAAACTTTTCTTTCTCTATTACCAGCATAGTTGCTTATGCCTTCATCATCTATAGCCTCAATTCCTAACCAACTTCCCTCATGGTCTCTCTGAATGAAGTATCACCATCCTCTAGTCTCTACTTTTAATCTTAGCCAGGTTGGACTTTTTAAACTCCAGATCTGTTAGTCATTGCCCTAAGTAATAACCTATGAGCTCCACTGACCTCAACACCAATCTCAAACTTTACTACCTGGTTTACAATGCCATTCTGTGGCCTAACTGTAGCTTCTTATGCTTTATCTTTATCCATTCCCTATGAGGTCTCTAGTATAGCTATCTAAATTCTATTCTGCCTTTCATAGATTTCATGGTCTTATACTTCTAGACCCATAAAGGTTGGTTTCTTGGCAGAATATAATTTCCTTCTAAATCTTTGATCCCTCTCTCATTTATTTAACTTGAAAACTTCTACTCAGGTTTTGAACTCAATTTATATCAATTTCATTAGAAAACCAAATCACTCAATTTTTCAAATGGCCTATATGTTCCTTCCAACTACCTCCATCTAAATATCCTATGATAGCATATTTAAACATATTTCTATTCCACCTAATGTCTGTGCCAATACTGTTGCATATATTAAGCATATATTAATTATTAAACATGCAATGAATATGATAAGGAGCTCTGGTAGCATGGTGGTTACGAATTGGGCTGCTAATCTCACCGTGAGCGGTTCGAAACTACCAGCTGCTCTGTGGGAGAAAGATGAGGCTTTCTGCTCCCATAAAGATTTACAGCCTCGGAAACCCTGTGCAGGGTCGCTATGAGTCAGAACCGACTCCACGGCACATAACAATAACAATTAATATGATGTAACAACAAGAAATCACATCGTGAAGTCATTTTCTGATTATTTGAAAGTTAACCCTCTTTGTCTAACTAATTGTGAGATCTTGATAGTTTTGACCTCACTTGAAACCTGTCTTGTCATATGTGAAAAACAGACAGGAAACAGGTCCCTTAAGAATGTTGTTGCTGTTGTTAAATGCCATTGAGTCAGTTCTAATTCATAGCAACCCATACAAGTCTTCCAAGGAGCAGCTGGTGTTTGAACTGCTGACATTGCGTTTAGTAGCACAGTGCTTATCCTATAACACCACATGAGGACTCCCTAAAGATTAGGAAAGGAAAAAAAAATAGCGATTAAGAGGGCCGCTTAAAAATGTTAACGTCATTGGAAATCACAATTAAAGAAGTTCTAGTCTACCACTCATCTGTCAGTTTGTCATACTGTGGTGGCTTGTGAGTTGCTGTGATTCTGAAAGCTATGCTACTGGTATTTTAAATACCAGCGGGGTCACACACAGTAGACAGGTTTTAGATGAGCTTCTAAATGAAGAAAGATTAGGAAGGAGAGACAAACTACTTCCAAATATTTAGTCATTGAAAATCTTATGAATAGCAGAGAAACTCTGTCAGATATAGTGCTGGAAAATGAGCCCCTCAGTATGAAAGGCACTCAAAATGTGTCTGGGGCAGAGCTGCTTCCTCAAAGAAGAGTTTCCATGATGATGCGAATGTTGTAAAGCCCTTTGGAGTAAAGACCTCAGGACCTTCATTTGCTGTTGAGGCACAACTCAAAATGAAGAGAATCAGCTGTAAACATCCATTAACAATCGGAACATGGAATGTACAAAGTATGAATTTAGGAAAATTGGAAATTGTCAAAAATGAAATGGAATGCAAAAACATCAATATCCTAAGCATTAGTGAGCTGAAATTGACTGGTATTGGCCATTTTGAATAAAAAAATCACATGGATTACTAGGCCAAGAATGAGAAGTTGAAGAGAAATGGCATCAAATTCATCTCAAAAAGAACATATCAAGGTCTATTATGAGGTATAACAAACACTGTCTGTGATAGGATAATATCCGTGTGCCTACCGGGAGGCCCAGTTAATGCCACTATTATTCAAATTTACGCACCAACCACTAAAGCCAGTGAGGATGAAACAGAAGAATTCTACCAACTTTTTCAATCTAAAACTGATCAAAAAAGCAAAGATACATTGATAACTATTGGGGATTGGTGTACAAAGAATGGAAACAAAGAGGAAGGATCAGTAGTTGGAAAATATGGCCTTGGTGATAGAAATTATGCTGGAGATCACATGATAGAATTCTGAAAACCAATGATTTGTTCATTTCAAATACCTTTTTAAAACAGCATAAAAGAGGACTACACAAATGGACCTCACCAGATGGGATATACAGAAATCAAATTGACTACGTTTGTGGAAAAAGATGGTGAAAAAGCACCATATCATCAACAAAAACAAGACCAGGGGCAGACTGTGGAATAGACCATCAATTTCTCATATGCAAATTCAGACTGAAGAGGAAGAAAATGAAAACAAATCCACAAGAGCCAAAATATGATCCTGAATATATCCCACCTGAATTTAGAGATCATCTGAAGAACCGACTTGATACATTAAACACAAAGACAAAAGACCAGGAAAGCTGTGAGATGACATCAAGAATATCACACAGGAAGAAAGCAAAAAGTCATTAAGAACACAAGAAAGAAGGAAAAGTTCAAAATGGATGTCAGAAGAGACTCTGAAACTTGCTCTCCAACGTAGAGATGCTAAAGCAAATGAAGGAAATGAGGAGGTACAGAGCTGAACAGAAAATTTCAAAGGTCAATTTGAGAACACAAAGAAAGTCAAATATAATGAAATGTGTAAAGATCTGGCATTAGAAACCAAAAGGGAAGAAGGAACATGTTCAGCATTTCTCAAGCTGAGGGAACTGAAAAAAATATTCAAGCTTCGACTTTCATTATTGAAGGATTCAGTGGGCAAATGATTGAATGATGCAGAAAGCTTCAAAAGAAGATGGAAGGAATACACAGAGTCACTGTACCAAAAGGAAATGGTTTATGTTAAGCCTTTTAAGAGGTGTTGTTGTTGTTGTCAAGTGCCGTCGAGTCGATTCCAACCCATAGTAACCCTGTATAGGGTTTCCAAGGAGCAGCCAGTGAGCTTGAACCGCCGACCTTGTGATTCAAAGGGCTTTGCGGTCTGGTGCATTAACCCACAGCGCCACACCAGGATTCCTTTTAAGAGGTAGCATATAACAAAAAGCCAATGCTACTGAAGGAAGAAGTCCAAGGTGCATTGAAGGAATTGGCAAAGA